ATAGTTCGGGGCGACGTGTGACAATGAGACTGTCACAGGTCGGCTCAGTAGATCGGGAGGTGAGAGAACACATACCGGCGTTCGCTCACCTCTCGATCCTGTCACTGCTCTCTGCCATGACAGGGGGAGGGGCTGGATTCCGCCTGCTCCAATCCGCCAGCGCTGACTGGCAGAACGGACGGGGAGGGGGCGGGTACAGCTGCCTCTAGATAGGAGGAGCCAGCTGTCAGTCACGCAGCTGGGCGGATCCCGGCACAATTGTCGGGATCCGCTGCGGCTGCGGCGTCTCAGTATACCGCGAGCTGCAGCTCCCTATATACTGAGCTTAGGGTGACGGGAGGAGGACGCTAGTTTGTGACCTCCCCTGAGGAGACCTATGGGGGGAAAGCCCTGACCCCGTACTTCTCCTTTAAGAACAAACCTACAGACACGATCTTGTGTGTAACCCGGGGACTTCCTGTCCCGATCTTGTGTGTAACCCGGGGACTTCCTGTCCCGATCTTGTGTGTAACCCGGGGACTTCCTGTCCCGATCTTGTGTGTAACCCGGGGACTTCCTGTCCCGATCTTGTGTGTAACCCGGGGACTTCCTGTCCCGATCTTGTGTGTAACCCGGGGACTTCCTGTCCCGATCTTGTGTGTAACCCGGGGACTTCCTGTCCCGATCTTGTGTGTAACCCGGGGACTTCCTGTCCCGATCTTGTGTGTAACCCGGGGACTTCCTGTCCCGATCTTGTTCCTGTCGTTTGTACTGATTTGGATCTTTCATAAATGATGTTTGTGAAGTTAATAAAGCTGCGGTCCAATGAGTGACAGAGGAAGTCATATACTGTCGGGTTATAGTGCCGACAGTCATCATCCTCTGCGTTCCAGTATCATGGGTTCTAGTAATACCGAGATCGGGAAGTAGAAGTCTAGGAAATGTCTCGGGGGGCCGGATCCGGCCCCTGGGCCTTGAGTTTGACACGTGTGGTGTAATGGTTCCGGATCCTCATGAGACCATCGGGGAAAAAAAAGTTTGTGTCTCAGGATGAATCATTTCAATGGATAATATACATTGTAGTCTGGACCGCCTGGTCTTACCTGCACTAATCCCATGAAGGGAAGTCCTCTGGGGCCCGCTCTGCCCCTCGGGTTGCTTGGGGTCATGGAGGAGAGATTCACTCACCTAAGTGCGTCTCAGATACTTGCCCCAGTCTTCAGACAGGGACCGGGGTTGTCTCAATTACTATATGGGCTCTGTCCACCTGGGGCGGGTATTATGACTATGTGGGGTCTGTCCACCTGGGGCGGGTATTATGACTATGTGGGGTCTGTCCACCTGGGGCGGGTATTATGACTATGTGGGGTCTGTCCACCTGGGGCGAGTATTATGACTATGTGGGGTCTGTCCACCTGGGGTGGGTATTCCGGCTGTCCTGAAAAGACGTCTGTCCCTCATTCCACGCGTGTTGCTGTGTTGTTGGATCGGGGGAGTCAGCCCTTTAAATCTTTAAGGACAGCGATATGCAGGAACCCTCTTAGGGGGTGTCCCAGACAGGACCAGACTCACATAGGGGCTACTGGAGAGCTAGCTATCCTCACTAGGTCACCTGGCTGTCTCTCCTCTCTCTCTCTCCTGGCTGTCTCTCCTCTCTCTCTCCTGGCTGTCTCTCCTCTCTCTCTCTCCTGGCTGTCTCTCTCCTCTCTCTCTCCTGGCTGTCTCTCCTCTCTCTCT